GCTCAGGCAATCCACTCACCTCAGCCTCCCAAAGGCGCAGGATTACAGGCTGAGCCACCGAGCCCAGTTTGTAGCCTTTATTCTAATCTCACCAAGTCTCACGGATACTTTTCATAACAACAGTAACGACAACAACAACCCTTTTCGGCCCTGGGGCACTGGAACCGTAGAGGTGAGGCCCAGGATCACACACGTCTCCAACTTCCATGTGTCTTCACTCTCTTTCCATCTAGAACAGTTCTTTGTTTTTCAAGACACTGACATTTTGAAAGGTGACAGATCACTTATTCTGTAGAATGACCTTTGATTTGGGCTTGTGTGGTACGTCCTCGTGAGAAGGTTCAGGCTGTGCATTCCCTCTACTTGGCAGAGGCCTGTGATGGTTGCCCTTTTCAGTGTATCCTGTCAGGAGGCACATGGTGTTTACAGGTCTCACCATCCCATTGTCTTCACTTTCCTTCCTAATGGAAGTATCTCTCGTTTTCTTTTGACCATGTCCCAGGATCGATCTTTCCTTCTGTTGACGATTTCCCTTCCCTGCATGACATTTCTTTTGATTTTACTCATTTTTTAACCTTTTTTTTTGTAGAGATGGGGTGTCTGGCTATGTTGCCCAGGCTAGTCTTGACCCTCTGACCCCAAGCGACTGTACAGCCTTGGCGTCCCAAAGTGCTGGGATTAGAATTACAGGCATGAGACACCACGCCTGGCCAAAGATACTTCTTAACTCGCTCTCTTCCCTGTTTATTTCCTCAGAATGAACTCAGGGAGGTGAGGGAAGAGCTCAACGAAAAAATGGAGGAGATAAAACAGGTAACAGAATGAGGCTTTACATAGCATGGAGGAAAAGTGCAGCCTGAGGAAACTCATTTCTTAACGTTGCGTGGTGAAGGAGATCAGGGACTGCATGGAGAGAGCAATCAGACCAACTCAGCCCTTGTCCCTGAGCTCATCATGTGGGGCAGCTCAGGGTGTTCATTTCTGGTGTGATGTCTACGGCCAGCTTTTGAGCGACCAAGGGCTCCCTGAGGGGTCTCATGGATAGGGTTGGGGCACTGTACCCTTCGAGGTGAGGCTGAGTGAGAGGAGCTGACTTGGAACTGGGGCCAGCCAGGGGTCAGTTCCATCCTCCTCTCCACCTCCCCAGAGCAGAGTGCACCGCAAGGCTAGAACTCTCCTCTTGCTTCTGTGACACAACCACCTGCAGTCTCCTTAGAAAAAGGGGGAGTCATGAGAAAAAGGATGTGATCGAAGCTATGGGCTGAGTTCCACATGGGAGCCTTGCAGTGGTCAGAGCTAAGCTATGCCAAAGCTGGTGGTGGTTGTGCCTCAGTGGTACTGCACCCTAGCCCCTTCACAGGCTCTTGGGGAGAAAGCAGCTTCTAACAGGCCATTATTAGCCATGCCAGAGGAACAGATGCTGCTTTTGTTTAAAACACCCCAAGGACGACACATCTGACAGCAAGACTATAAGGGGAGATCCCCCAAAACCATGAATTTCGTTTATTAAAATTGTGATGTATTCTCACATGTTGAAGCTTCAGTCACCTTCAAAGTACTCTCTGTTTGATGCAACACCACCACTGAGATGTTTTTTCCACTGCTCGAAACAGTTTTTGAATGTGTCAATTTTGATGTCTTTTAGTGCTGCTGCTGTTTTTTTTTGTTTCGCCTGTTCCACATCAGCAAAACGCTTCTCCTTGAGGACTTTTTTCATCTGGGGAAACAAAAAAAAATTGCTTGGGGTGGGATTGGGTGAATCAGAAGTGTGGGACATGGGGGTCATACCATTTTTGGTTAAAAACTGCTGAACATTCAGCATGGTGTGGTCAGGTGCACTCATAAACCACCCATCATGAAATAGGCAAACATCTCCAGAAATAAATTCATGGACGCCAAACACAACAATGCTAGCTGGTACACTGATGCCAATGGGTTCCCGGAACATACTAGCAGGGGAAGTATATGCTACAAGAGGCCCGCCTCCAAAAAGACAATTCCATTTTTGGGGGGGCCCTCCCTCATATGCTCTGTGCTTTGTTAAGCCATGCCTTTCTTCCTTCTTAGATCAAGGATATAATGGACAAGGATTTTAATAAGCTTCATGAATTTGTGGAAATTATGAAGGTAAGAGCCACTGAGTGAGTGCTTTCCATGGGCCAGTCATGTTGGAAACTGGAAGAGAGCCCATTCCTGCCCTCCAGTTGCTTATCATCTGATAGCAGACCCAAATTAATTGACCGTCAATTAATTGGGGGGTTTGGATACCTGACACATGAATGTGGGTGGGAATATCGGAATAAGTCATTCTAGAGAACGTGAATCTTAAGTTGAGCCCTGAAGATTGCATTGGAAGCTGAATTAAAATCTAATTAAAAGTTCAATAAGATTCTTTTTTAACTCTAAAATTCACTAGGAGGATAATCTAGACCCTTGAACAGTGGTTCACAAATATCGGTGTGTTTCAGAACTACCCAGAACACAAATGGAGCAGACAGAGCCCAGGCTCATGTCAGATGGTCTCGGCCCCTTGTATTTTGGGCAAGTTCCCCAGGTAAACATTTGCAAACCACTGATGTAGAAACATAAACAGGTAAAGGCAAATATTTGCTCATTTTTCAGGAGTTGTAAGGGCGTACTAGCCTCACCAGATATTATAATTATGATTTTAAAAAATGCAATTGTCTAACCAGGGTGGTACACCCAAGGATAACCAGGCGAATGAAATATCACAGATAACCCTGTAACAGCCTCTCTGCCAAACACGTACGGAGAGTCACTTGTGAGGATTTAAAAATTCATTTACCCAGACCCCAGCCAAGAGGAGCTGAACAAAATCTCCAAGGTGAGACACAGTTGTTTAAAACTGCATCAGCAATTCTGATGCTTGTCGCTGGATAAGAACCAGGTCCTAAAGATGTTAGCAACCATTACTAACCTTGGCTGCACATTAGAATCACCTGGGGGGGTCCTTGATGCTCACCTCACAGCCAGGCTGTACCCCGTAACAATTAAATTGGAACCTCTTGGGATGAGGATAAGGCACCCATGGTTTTTAAAGTTTCCAGGTGATTCCAATGTATACTGAAGGATGAGAATCCCAGCTCTATAAAAATTTGCAATATGAGAAAGGTGAGTTTTTTATGTCAGTGAGAAGGAAAGGATTACGTAATAATATTAAGAAACTTGCTTGACTATAGGAGGTGAAAACCTAACCCAGTTAACACTGTAAACCAAATAGTCTATGAGGTGAATTTAAATAATAAAAACTAATAAGACATTTTAAGTATTTAACTGAATGTTCTAGATATAAATATAATGGAAGGAATTGTAAAAGAAATACTGATATCTTTAAGTATATAAGATTTTTAAAAAAGAATTATAACAGAGAAGCACTATATATGGAATTAAAAAACAACAGTTTGGGAAGATCAATTTTCCACGGATCTCCTAAGCATAGATACATTTTTTTTTTTTATCCACAAGCATATAAAGCTCATACAAAACAATAAGAACCAAATAGAAAAATGAACAAGAGCACAAACAGACAATCCACAGGAGAAAATGTAATGAAAAAGCAATACACATATTTAAACAGTTTGACCTCATGAATAACCAAATACATGCAAATGAAAATGGATAACTGTTGCATTCAGGTGAGCAAGTCTTTAATTTATGACAATTCTAGAACAAGATAGGAATGCTCTTATGCTGCTGATTGGAGTGCAAGTTTGGACAAAACTAGAGCATTATTAGACAGTAATATCAGAAAATATCAACTTCTTGATTTATCAGTTCCACTGCTCAGAATTTAACCTATGAAAATAATCAGAAATGCCAGCATGGATATATGTAAAAAGATGTTCATCACTGGATTGTTTAGAATGACAAAAACAACAGCAATTTTCAACAGTAGGGGAATAGACAAGGTATGGTATATCCATGTAGTGAAAATTGGGAACTATTAAAGACAATGATTAGAAAGAATGTTTATAATGAGAACTAAAAAAGCAAGATACAAGTAATACATACAGGCTGATGTCAGCTAGAGTAAAAAAAAAATACCTTGGTAAATATATAGAAAAACAACTGGAAAGAAATACAGCAAAGGAGTAAATAGCAATTATTACTGGATGAGACGGTTAATTAATTAATTTATTTTGTGTCAAAGTCTCACTCTGTTGTCCAGGCTAGAGTGGAGTGACTTGATCATGACTCCCCACAGCCTTGTCCTCCTGGCCTCAGGTGATCCTCCCACCTCAGCCCTTCAAGTAGCTGGGACTACAGGCATGTACCACCATGCCCGGCTAACTTTTTTTTTTGTAGAGATGAGGTCTCACTATGTTGCCCAGATTGGTCTCAAACTTCTGGGTTCAAGCAATCCTTCTGCCTCAGTTTCCCAAAATGCTGGGATTACAGGCGTGAGTCACTGCACCCTGCCTAATATTCATTTTTTAAATATCCCTCTGTATTGTCCAAATTTCCTACAAAGGGCATGCATTAATTATTGCTATATTAAAATGCAAACACAGTGTTTTGTTGGTGGGTAGGCCTGGGTCTGAAAAGTTTCAAAGGAGGCTATTTCAGGTGGAGGAACAGCTTGGGCACGGCAGGAGGCAGGAGGAATGGGCTGTGTTTCATGGTCAGTGGGGAAATCAGTGGGATCATTCAGGGAAAATGTGAGAAAGAAAATGGAATGGGCACAAAGGCAGTGGGTAACGGAGGCTTTTGAAAGACATGCAGACAAGCCAGGACTTGGTTCTGTAGGCAGTGAGAGGCCTCTGGAGACTCTTACTCAAAAAACACGCTGGGAACAGCACTTCCGAGTACTCAGGCTGGCAGGTGTTTGCAGAGCGGCCTGGGCGAGAGCGGGGGGGAGCAGGTGGGGTCATCTGGCAGCAAGAACACCAGGCAGGAGCCTACAACTGGCTCAAGGTGAAGACGCTGGACCAGGTGGAGGGAAAGGAAGAGGAGGGTAAATCTGAAAGATGCATTGCAGGAAAAATAACAGTTGTTGGTGTCTGACTTAACGTAGAGAATGAAGTCATCAGAGCAAGAGCCCATGATGACACCAACGTTTTAATCGGGTTGATTAAAAGAATGTAGTGACAGTGACAAGGGTAGTGGGGAGACAGAGCTAATTTAGAAGGGAAAATGAGATCAGTATGAAACATGGTGAATTTGTTGGTGAGATTTGAAAGAATATGGGACATTTTGACTCTGATGTTTTGGAAGTAGGGGCACAGGCTGCAAGGATATTTTAACTCTTTATGAAATCAAATATTTACCAAAATGTCTACTAACACTTTAAAATGCTTTCCAAGAAGGAATTTTCTGAGATCATTTCTACCCAGTGTAATTCCTTGAGCAATTTTCTGTGGTAGATCAATTAAACTGTTACTAAATCTTTTTTTTAATTAAAATGATTTGCATTGGAGTAACTTATTTTCATTTATGTTTTAGGATCATCAACCCAAATCTGTTTTTGTTCATAACAAACATTGTCAATTATAGCTTCTGCCATCTTAGAATTTCTTTCATGCCCACTATTTCTACCCAATTTTCCCAAGTTAAATTTTATAGATCTAAACTTTGCCAAGAAGATTTTTTTTTTTTGAGCTGGAGTCTCACTCTGTCGCCCAGGTTGGAGTCAGTGGCACGCTGCCGGCCACTGCAGCCTCTCGACCCTCTAGGCTCAGGCAATCCTTCCACCTCAACCTTCCAAGTAGCTGGAACTACAGGTGTGCGCTATCATGCCCGGCTTATTTTTTTGATTTTTATTGTAGAGTCGAGGTCTTACCAAGTTGCCCAGGCTGGTCTTGAAGCCCTGAGCTTAGGCCTCAGCCTCCCAAAGTGCTGGGATTACAGGCTTGAGCCACCACGCCTGGCCAAGAAGATTTTAATCTTCTCCCTGTTCTCAGTGAATAACACATGTGACACGCCTTCTTAGCTACCATCTGTTTTATTTTGGGTTGACCCTTTTTGCCAGAATTTGGGTAAAAGATGAATCAAACACAGATCCACGTGATCTGGGTGCATGACAGGGGTCAAGACATTGGAGCCAAAGCGACTTAGGGGTCACAGGATTTGTTGCCTGAGTTCCATGATTTTATAGGCACTGAACCAAGGCAAAGATCAGTGTGAGATCAGGGAAAACAGTTCCTGGCCTCTGACTTCCCTGGAGACTTTGGAAGAGTCCCCTAGTAGGGGTGGAGGAGGGAGAAGCGGAAGACATCATGGACATCCCATGAGCCACCTCACCCAAGTCTACCGAGGGTCCTTAGGGAAGTAAGATGCAGAGTGATGTGCAGAGAAGCGGGAGCAAGAAATTGTAGAAACCCTTCAAAATGCAGATCCTGACTGTGAATTCTCTCAAAGGAGATGCAGAAAGATATGGATGAGAAGATGGAGATTTTAATGAACATACAAAAGAACAACAAGCTGTAAGTATAATGGCACCTCTCTCCTCATCCCTAAAGAATCTCCTCCTTTCACTTTGCTGGATGCTCTTGGGGTTCAGAGGACACTCCGACTCCTCAAGGAGGTGTCTTGGCTCCTATAACCCCAAAGCCTCAGAGTCAAGGCCTCTGGTTACCTCCTTGTCATGTTGGACATTGTCTCCCCAATCTCTGTCCCTCCCTGGCCTCCCCCCTCCCACCCCAGTCCCCTTAGAAGAGGACCGAAGGAGCAGCCGGAACTCAGGCTGATGGGAAAGACGGACACAGACCCCCAGCTCAGGCCCAAGAAGATGAGCGGAGCTGATGGAGCGCTCTTTGCTCTTCACAAGAAGACGACAGTGCCACAAAAACCAAAACAGGACTCCCTGGATTCCCTTCACCGATGTGGGACCTGCTGTGTAAGTGATGCCCTGCCCCTAGCCCAGCATGGGTGCTGGACGTCTGGGCTCCTACTCCCCCTTGGCTTCCCCAGACTCCTGCTGTGAAGGGACCAGTAGCCCACCCTGCTGACCCCGATCCTCCCTCACCTGCCTCTCCTGACTGCGGGCTTCCCCCTCCAGGACCACGCAGGCCTTGACCCTGGGCGCGCCTGCTCCCATGCTTCCCTGTGCTATTCTGTCGTTCCCCATAGCGAGGGCTGGCGAGGTCCCCGGCAGGCTGGCATCTCAGGCCAGGGAAACATGACCTTTCTTGTCCTCCGCAGGAGAAATGTTTGTTGTGTGCCCTAAAGAACAGCTACAATCAGGGGTAGGTAGATCCATCCCAGAAGTGCCTTTTCTCAATCGGGTGCCTCGTCCCAAAGGGAGTGAATGTTTCAGCCGTACCAGCATCCACTCCCCGCCCTCGTGGTTGTGCATGGAGCAGGGTTCACAACCACTCAGTCATAGAGTGGCACCAGGAAGGAGGACGAGGGTCGCCCAGGCTAGGGGCTGCTTCCGAGGGTCCTACGGTGGGGAGGGCATCCCACCTGCCGCTGACCCAAACTTGCCTCAGCTGCGTGCCTTTCTCCCTACCCAGCAGGAAGCTTTCACGCCAGGTCTGGGCACCATTTTCATCCTTGTCTTCTGGAGCTGCCTTCTGATTTACCTGTACCTCAACCTTGGTGACATCGAGTATGTGCTTCCAACATAGTATGGCCATGGAACCCACAAGCAGCTCTGATCCATTCAATCCCCACCCCCAAGCTTCACCGTAAGGGCTTGGTGCCCTCTTGGCTGCCATCCCTGCCCCAGGCCTCCACTGAAGATTAAAATCTTTGAAAGTCAAAAAGGGATGTCGTTGTTTTGAATGCCAGTCCCAGACCCGAGTGTATGGAGTGCCACTTTTTTGTTGTTCTGTATCAGTGTATTCCAAACCCAAGCCCCTCTTCCTGCTTCCTCATGGATTCATGGGAAATTGTATCCTGGTCATTCCAGGGGGCTTCCCCACCATTGCCTCCCTTTGTCCTGTCTGGTTCTGCAAAGGCCCCCTGTCAAAGCATGGGAGGCCACTGACAAGAGCGGGTGTCAGCCTGTGTAGTTTTGGAAGAGATCCCTGCTGCTTGCCCACCTGCTCCCTCCACAGTACCTGCTCCTGCAATATGCATGGGACCTTGTGTCTTGGGTGGCGTGGGGAATCCCAGACCTGAGTCTGGTCTGCACTGCTCTCCTCTGAGGTCTTGTCACCAAGCAGGACTCAGGGCCCTTTGCTCACAGGAACTTGGTGCCTTCTCGGGCTCTGGGATTCACCTTCCTCACCCTCCCAAAGGTCTCCTCTTCCTCCCTCCATCCCCAAAGGAGACAGATCCTTCAGAGGCCTGAGGTCTTTACACAGGTGGGGCAACCACCTTCTGAACCCCCTGCTGGGCATCCTGACTCTCTGCTGGACCACTCTGTGCCTTCCCCAAGTTCCCTGAGAGAAGACGAAGATTGGCTGCCCACTTGAAATCAAGAGTCAAGCAAGGGCTGGGCACAGTGGCTCAGGCCTGTGATCCCAGCATTTGAGGAGGCCGAGGTGAGAAGATTACCTGAGCCCAAGGGTTCAAGACCAACCCGGGCAACTTGGTAAGACCTGGTCTCTACAATAAATCAAAAAATTAGCCGGATGTGGTAACACGTGCCTGTAGTTCCAGCTACTTAGAAGGGTGAGGCGGAAGGATTGCCGGAGCCCAGCAGGTCGACACTAGGGTGGCCATGAGCATGCCACTGTACTCCAGCCTGGGCAATGGAGTGAGACTCCAACTAAAACACACACACACACACACACACACACACACACACACACCGCTGTACC